CACACACACACACACACACACACACACACACACACACACACACACACGCACTCACGTACACACGCACGCACACACACGACAGACGATGTTGATTTCAGCTTTGCGCGCTCCAGCGGTGCCGGGGGCCAGAACGTCAACAAAGTCAATACAAAGGTGTGATATGAGGATGAGTGATCTGAGTGGTGTGATGTGAGGACCGGCAAGCCCCAGCCGGCACCCTAGCACAGGCGGGGCTGTGACCCATTCATTGCGCACACGCATGCAACTTGCACGCACGCCATGGGCGCCGCCGGTATTATCGGTAGCAGCAGCAGCCGAGGAAGGTCGTCCCCAATACGGCTAGCAGGGGTGTGAGGCTGTCCCGCAGCCCGCGGCAGCCGCAGCCCCGCCGCATGGCCGGCATCCCCAGCGCCCCCACAGGGCCGCCAGCGCCCAGCGATCAATCCCCCCTGCCGCGGCTCGCGCCGCACACGCCTACGCGCCTGCGCGCGCCCCGTAACCCTGCGGCCAATCTCTGGTGTCCCTGCGCGCCAGGTGGACATGCGGTTCCAGCTGGACTCGGCGGGCTGGATTCCTGAGGAGGTCAAGGAGGCCATCCGCCGCGCGGTGGGTGCTCATGTATTGGAGCAGGGCGATCACGCCGTGATGGTGCGATTGGTTGGATAGGATTTGCGTTGATGGTGAACGCGGGGGCCGGGAAACTAGGGCGGTGGGCGAAGGCACAGACGGGAGGTGGCCAGGCGGCGGGAAGGGCGGGGTCCGCGCGTGGGAGGCGCCGCGCGTTCGAATGTCTCTACGTCTGCTCACACGTACGCGCTTGCGAGCGAGCCGCGGGGCGACCCCCCCAAGGCTCTACGCTGGCGGCTCGGGACCAGCTGCTGCGATCGGCAGCGCCGAGCGCCCCATGGCCCACGAGTGAGCTGTCACTTGTGCCAAGCCCATCCTCCCCGCCTGCCTGCCGCTCCTCCAGGAGAAGAACAAGATCAATAAGGAGGGATGGCTCGTCGTCACGAGCACGCGGCACCGCCTGCAGAGGTGCGCGCGCAGCCCGGCGCAGAGCCTGGGGGCGGCAGGGGCGGGCCGGCGCGTTGCTTTGGCCGGGGCGTTTGGGGAGCTCCCGCACCCTTGGGTGGCGATCACGCATGGGCACCTGTGGCTGCCCCCCCCCCCCCTCGGATGATGGCATCATGTGGAGGATCCGCCATCGCAGTCCGCCTGCGTTTGGAGTACCACTCATGCGATGGCGCAACGTTGTGTGTCCACTTGCGCGTCCCCAATCACACGCTCTGTGCCCCGCGGTTCCACCTGCAATGCATGGAAAAACCCCTCGTGAGCACCCCGCGCACGCGACCTGACAGCGACGCCCCCTCCAACCCCACCGTGTGCAGCGCCAACATGGAGGACGCGCTGGCAAAGCTGCAGGACATAATCACTGCGGCGGTTGACGCGGTGACGGTCAAGGAGGCCGACCCCGAGACAGTCGCGCGCGTCAAGAAGAAGTGGGTGGTGAAAGGCGCGAGTGGTTGCACATGCATGGGCATGCACATGCACACGCTTTGGGTTGTGCGTGGACAGGGACGAGGCGGCGGTGTGGGAGCAGGGGTGGGGGTGATGAAACGTGGGCGCATGCAGGAACTCTTGTGAATGCCTGTATGCGTGCACTCTGCATCTTTTGGAATTGGACTGCCAGGCCGCAGGGGTCACCTCCGCCAAGCCTCTGCATGAACCTTGAGCCCCCTGCTCTCCTGACCGCGGGCAACGCGAGCCACCCGCCGACCCTGACCTGCTGAACACGGACTGCTTGCTACGCGCCCGCCATGCGTCCCCCGGGACCGCGCGCAGCATCAAGGCCGGCAACGAGCGGCGGCTGGATGGCAAGAAGAAGGAAGGCAAGAAGAAGGCAGAGCGGCGGCGGCGCGACTTTGACTGAGGCTCGCAACCCACATGCGCGACGCGTGGAAGGGCCGGCTGCATCCCGTCCGTCCCTGCTGCCGTTCGATCCAGCAGGCGCCAGCCCGTGCTTGGTGCTGGTTCAAGGCAGTGGGGTAATCAACGGGCCAGGAGCGCGCCGGCTGCTGGCCTCAGGCGCCACGGCTCAGCAGCGGGCAGCTTTGCGGTTTGTCGGCGCCTTGCAGAAGGCAGCTGCCCAATGAAGAGGCCCCAATATGTGCGAGCGTCTGCATTTGTGAGAGGCAGGCGTCAGCTTTGCGCCAACGGCTGATACATGACTGCCTGCATTCTTGCATGCGTTGGAAAGTGCACCCAAACACCTGAAAGCAAGACCGCAGTCGTTCGATGTACATTTACATGATGCATTTTGTCAGCGGGCCAGTCGCATCAGCAAAGGCTGAGGTGCACACACTAGCAGCCGCATGGGATCTGACGCAGCTTATCGGTGCGTCAGGCGCAAGGCAGGGCGCCCAAGCGCGCAGCCAGCAAGCAATGCCAACCGCCCAGTCGTGCGGTGCGCTGCGGGGGCCGCATTGCAATGTTAAGCATGCGATCGGCTCAGTGTGCGCCCCCGAGCTGCTCAAGCATTGCGTCGATGCCATCGCCATCCTCCATGCCC